TCTCGGAGAACGACACCCGCACCTCCGTCTTGCCCCGACCGAGAGGTAGCACCATCCACGTTTGCTTTGAGCCAGCCATCCACCGGTGGTCCCCATATCGTATGTTGGGTTGTTCTGATGTAGATGTGTTCCTCAGTCCTGATTGAAGCAACGAACCGACGGAGCCGCGTTATGTGATTGTTGCATCTTCACGGCAGCCGGCAGGAAGACCATCAACAGTGGGATCGGATCGGAGGCAACTGCCGGCGCCGGCATGACTACTAGGGCCTCGCCCAGGGCAAGGGTTTGGTGCTTCGCCGATCGCCGATCGCGAGACCCAGACGCCAGTTCACCGCCTGTTCCGATCGTGCCATTGGGCCTCCAAACTTCTGTGCTAGTATTATTTTGGGCCTCTGACCTTCTATCATATCGCAGCCCAGTAAACAGTCTCACGTACACGTATGACGGTTGGATTCCTGGGAGTAACTAGTTAACGAGCGCTCCTTCGGGAGCCTCGCAACGACCAGCGCCACTTGGCGCGCTCTCAGCCATTCGCCACGTGTCGCGCTCTGGACGCTTCCTTCGGATTTTATTTTTTTATTTTTGCACACGCGTTTTCGGCTTTTTAAACGATTTTTTCTCGGGTTTTTTCGATGTTTTGGTTTTCCCCTGGTCTTTCTTAGCTTTTCGATCAAAAAAAATTTTGCGCGAAAAAACGCGTTTTCTTTTTTTTTCCTTTCGCAAAAGTCACGGTTTTTCTCCCGCGAGAGGCACGGTTGTGTGCTTTATCGAGAGTAGTCACGACTGTGCCTTTCGGAAACGAAAAAAATGTGTTTTCTGTTTTTTTTCTTTTGCGAGAGTCACGGTTTTTCTTCCGCGAGAGGCACGATTGTGCTTTTCTGAGAGTCACGGCCGTGCCTCTCGGAAAGGAAAAAACAAAACGTGTTTTCTGTGTTTTTTTCTTTCGTGAGAGTCACGGTTTTGCTTCCGCGAGAGGCATGGTTGTGCTTGCACGAAAGTCACGGCCGTGCCTCTCGAAAAAGGAAAAAAATATGCATTTTCTGTTTTTTTTCCTTTCACGAGAGTCACGGTTTTGCTTCCGCGAGAGGCACATTTGTGCTTTCGCAAGAGTCACGGTCGTGCCTCTCGAAAACGAAAAAAAATGCGTTCTCTATTTTGTTTTTCTTCCACGAGAGTCACGGTTTTGTTTCCACGAGAGGCATGGTTGTGATTTCGCGAGAGGCACGGGCGTGCCTCTTTCGGAAAGGGAAAAAAACCGTGCTCCCGGTTCGTTTTTTCGCCTGGTTTTTTTCGTGAAAAAAAAGTTCGTTAAAATCTATCAACATGGGATCTAATTTTGAAGATCTCGATGCGAGGAATTCAATGGTGAAAACGGTTCGAGATTTGGACGCACGGTTTAAGAGATAAAACATTTTGAATAAACGGATCTACGAAAAAAGGGAAAACTCCCAGGTTGCGATAAGTGGCGCGCTGCATGTGCGCCACTTGTCGCGAACTGGGAAAGTGAAGTGTTCTTTGCAACGAGTACTCCTTAATTAGTGATTTCGTGGATTTCTGGTCTTTTTAGCAATTTTTCAGCGGGCATCTAAGAAAACGATCTTTCCTGATTTTCTCTCGATGGGGGCCCCACGATTTTAGGGGCCCTGTGCGATCGCTCATCTCGCTCCCCCTCATCGACGGGCCTGGTGATAGGCAAAAATACGTGTCACGGTGGCGATAGAAACGGCTATTCTAAAGAAAGAATACGTGTCTCGAACAAATGGCAATCTATCAAGTAGGTTGGGATCGGGACAATACGTGTCATGGCGATGACAGAAATGACCATTTTCGGAAAAGGAAAAATGTGTGCTTTAAACAAGCGGTGACCGATCAACTAGGTTGGGATCACGACAATACGTGTCACGGCGATGCAGAAACAACCATTTTGAGGAAAGAAAAAATGTGTGTCTTAGACAAGCGGTGACCGATCAAGTAGGCTGTGATCGACAAAAAAGACATGTCACAACAATAGAAACGAATTTTGAAGAAAAAGAATACGTGTCTCAAACAAGTGGCGGCCGATCAAGTAGTTTGTGATCGACAAAAATACGTGTGACGGCGGCGATAGAAACGCCCATTCTAAAGAAAAAATACGTGTCTCAAACAAATGATAACCGATCAAGTAGGTTGGGATCATGACAATACGCATCACGGCGATGACAGAAACGGCCATTTTGAGGAAAGGAAAAATGTGTGCCTTGAACAAGCGGTGACCGATCAAGTAGATTAGGATCGCGACAATGCATGTCATGGCAATGATAGAAACGACCATTTTGAGGAAAGGAAAAATGTGTGCCTTAAACAAGCGATGACCGATCAAGTAGGTTGTGATCGGCAAAAACACGTGTCACAACGACAATAGAAACGACAATTTTGAAGAAAAAAAATACATGTCTTGAACAAGTGGCGGGCGATCAAGTAGTTTGCGATCGGCAAAAATACGTGTCATGGTGGCGATAGAAACAACCATTATTAAGAAGAAAAAATACGTGCCTCAAACAAGCGACAACCGATGAAGTTGGTTAGAATCGCGACAATACGTGCAATGGTGATGACAGAAACACCTATTTTGAGGAAAGAAAAAAAATGTGTGCTTTAAACAAGCAACGACAAATCAAGTAGGTTGTGATCGGCAAAATCATGTGTCAGAACAACGAGAGAAAAGACCATTTTGATGAAAAATACGTGTCTCGAACAAGTGACAGCCGATAGTAGTTTGTGATCGGCAAAAACACGTGTCACGACAGCGGCAGGAACAACCATGTTATATAGAGAGAAAAAAGTATGTGTCTCAACAAACGGCAACCCTTTAAGTAGATCGGGGTCGGCTCTCAAACCTCGGCAAATTCCCTAAAAAGAAAGAAAAGAAAACTGGATGGAATAAGTAATCACGCAGTTGGCGTGACCGTAGAGCGCTCAGCTAATTTTCAGCGACTTACAAATAGACGATCCATTTGGAAATGATTCTCACCATCCTTTCCCGCGGCTGGGAAACACATGGCACCAAAAAACGAATGAAGGAAACAAGGATCAATTAAGTAGGTTGTGATGGCAAAAACACGTGTCACAACGATGGCAGAAACAACTATTTTGAAGGGAAAAAAATGTGTGTCTCAAACAAGTGGCGTCCGATCAAGTAGTTTATGATCAACAGAACACGTAAACTTTGACCAAGTTTATATTAAAAATTATCAAAATTCATTATTCCAAATAAATACAAATATGAAAATATATTCTATTGATTTTGTATTATGAATGCCCATAATTTCTTGTATAAACATGGTCAAACTTCAAAGACTTTAACGTCGCATAAATCTAACACGCGGAGTAAAAAGAACATGAGGCAGTACGTGTCTCTAACAAGCGGCAACCGTTTAAGTAGGCCGAGGCCGGGTCTCGGCAAATTACCTAAAGGGAAAGAAAGGAAAACCGAATGGAATAAGTAATCACGCAGTCAGCGTGTGACCGTAGAGCGCTCCGCTAATTTTCAAGCGACTTACAAATAGATGATATTTATTTGCAAATAGACGATTCACTTGAAATGATTCTGACCATATTTTCCTGCAGGCAGCTGGCAAATGCATGGCACCAAAAAACGAGTGAAGGAAACAAGGACCGCACAACCTGGTGCAACCCATCCAGCCATCGGCCCCACAGCTCCATGGCCAAGGCCAGCTGTGTCCTCTGCAAACCTGCAGCCTGGTGCCCCCTGGTTGCTAATTAACCAAGGCTTGGTCATAAATTTTCCATCAAATGGCAGTTCAACTGTGACAAAATAGTCCATCCATAATAGTGATGAAGAAATAAGAACAAGAAGGAGGAGAAAAAAGTGTTGGTTTGACCTTTTTTAATGGGTGCATGCATGTGAGTGAGGGGAGCCTTTTTCCAGGCTAGATTTGATGATATGCACTCCTTTGACCTTCTCCCCATGGAAACATGCATCCATCCCCTTTTCCTTTTTCTTTTTTTTAAACTGATGTCCAAGATCCTCTCTGTCTCATTCCCTCTCATGTGTATGAACATTGTGGAGTATACTAACTACTCCCTCCTTTTCCGATTTTAGATTTTTCATTTAATAAATCTCGATTTAATTGTTCCCCATCACAGGCTCGGATTTCAAGGCGCATTAAATCATTGCATGCGAGAAAAATTGACCAATGCATTTATTTTATTCATGCATGCATTGTAATTAACGCATTGAAAACACAATTTTGTGAAGAAACGGGCACATTGATTGCGTTCTTTTGCAAACTAAAAAAATATTCCACCACTCGTTATCTATCTTGCTTGGTGAGATTTTTGAATTGAGGCCTATAAACCGAAAAGGAGATGGTAGTAGTACTAGAATACTTCGGCAATCCCATAATGTAAGACTTTTTTTTAATACAATGGGCCGAAGCGAGTATTAGGAAAGCAAAAGCTTATCAATTCAATGAGGAGAAGATTGGAGTAGCAGCAAACCACCATCAAGAAACAGCAGTGGGAACGGGGGATTCCAAAACAGTGGTGCCAATTCAATGCAAAATAATTACTGGTGTGATGAGGATTAGTACTCCCTCCGTTCATTATTATAAGACGTTTTGGACAGCTAGCTTTAAACTGTTTTGGGCACTGTCTGAACTGTCTAAAACGTCTTATAAAAGTGAACAGAGGAAGTAATAAATTATATGGCCATCCTTTTCTGCAAACAGAGACGACCGCCCCTGCTATAAAAAGATGCTATCTTTCTTTCCAGTTTTCAGTTTTCACCCATGGCAGGTGAGGCGAGGTGAGGTGAGGTGGGAGGGAGGAAGAAGGGGAAGTGAACTGAACTGAGTCGAGCGGGGTCGAGGGAGCACACATAGCCCTGCACCTGCAGCAGTCCACAGCACCACAAACCAGTGACAAGAATCAGGATTGGTAGGAGCCCATCTCTGCCTTGCTGGCCCTGGCCTCCTCTCCCCCCTCTTGCTCTTCTTTTAATGGCTTCTCTGCCCCCTCGGTTTCCTGCCCCCGCTCGCTCCCCTGGGTCTGGGTACTAGTGCTAGTAGCAGTAGGCTGGGGTTGGCTTGGGTGTGGCTTCACAACTCACAAGAGAGGAGGAGAGACCACTCTGCCTCTGAGCTGTTCCTTCCACTTCCAGCGAGTGCTCAATCACCGGGAGAAAAGCAAAGCAGCAGGCCTGCGGCGAGGCTGCCGGGGAGGGGATTTTTTCCTTTCTGTCAAGCTCCTTGCTTGCTTGCTTGATTCTCTTCTCTTTGATCCTGGAGCGCGGCCGCCGGTCCGTCCAGTCCACCCAACCCTCGCTGTTCGTGCGCCCGAGCTCGTGCCCGCCCGCGCCAGATCTGAGTAGATTCCAAGAATCCCAGCACGAACCCGGCGGGGAGTTCTTGGGCTTGGACGGAGAGAGGGGGGAAAAGGTGTGGGGCCTCGTGTCTTTCTTTCTCTCGATCTGATTCGGCGCTCTGCGCCGGGCGATTCTGGGTGGCGGGGATTGACGCGGCTTCTTGGTTGATTGATTGATCCTTGGCCGCGATCCGGTTGCTGAGAGGGGAATTTTTGATCTTGACCCGCGGTACTGGTGATTCTGTTTGGTTGCAGGCGGCGGGGACACGGAGGCCGGGGATGCCGGCGAGGAGCTGCGGGGAGAGGGCGTGATGGCGGCGGTGATGGACTACTTCAGGTCGTGCTGGGGCGCGCGGTCCCGGGCCGGGCGGCGGGGCAAGAAGGGCTCGGACGCCGCCGGCCGCCAGGACGGGCTGCTGTGGTACAAGGACGCCGGCCAGGCGGCCACCGGCGACTTCTCCATGGCGGTGGTGCAGGCCAACAACCTGCTGGAGGACCAGAGCCAGGTGGAGTCCGGCTCGCTCTCCATGGCCGACCCCAGCCCGCAGGGCACCTTCGTCGGCGTCTATGACGGCCATGGCGGCCCGGAGACCTCCCGCTTCATCAATGACAACATGTTCCACCATCTCAGAAGTAAGCCCCAATGCCCCATCCCAAAATCGCCATCTGCTAATCTCTTTTTAAGTTTGGGAGGCGCCACGCCAATGATGATGAAATCATCAAATGCCAACTTATGATGTTTCATGCTTTTGCAATTCTTGCGAGCATGATTGTGATAATAATCATGCTGATTTTTCTCATAAAAAAAGGAAGGGCTGTCTGTCATAGCTTTGGCACTCATTGCTGTAACATCATCATCATCAGAAGAAGAAAATATTGCAGGTTCAATAGACTTGTTTCTAAGCTTGCATCACACATGGCGTGGTCACCGGCAGTGAGCTAGTATTATACTATCTCACAAAGAATAAATTCATCTCTTCTAGCTGCTTATGTCTTCTGTTGATGGTGACATTGTTCTGTTATACTCCACTACTTAATTGTTTTCTGTTTCTGGGGGCTGTTTCTTACTCATTGTTAGCCTTGTTAGTGTCAGTGCATGATAAACAATCTCCTTTTCCAGGATTTGCAACCGAGCACAAGTGCATGTCGGCCGATGTGATCCGGAAAGCCTTCCAAGCAACCGAGGACGGCTTCCTTTCCGTAGTCAGCAAGGAATGGTCTATGAAGCCTCAGATCGCAGCAGTGGGCTCTTGCTGCCTGGTTGGCGTGATTTGCTCCGGAACTCTCTACATCGCAAACGCCGGTGACTCGCGTGCGGTTCTCGGAAGGCTTGTCAAGGCGACCGGTCAGGTTGTGGCCATGCAGTTATCGGCAGAGCACAACGCGTGCTATGAGGAAGTTAGGCAGGAGCTACAGTCATCACACCCTCATGATCCACAAATCGTGGTTCTGAAACACAACGTTTGGCGTGTGAAGGGCCTCATCCAGGTAACCGAAATTCTGTACCGTGAGGCGCATAAGATCACTCTCAGATTTAGACCTGCCTAGATAATTATTAATTTGTTGTTAGAAGTCTTCGCGGCAGTTACATCATCTGTCCATCTCATCACAATTCCACTTATTTTTTCCGTTCCGGAGTATGGATAATTACTTTTGCATCTGCGCTATTTGTTTCAAGTTAGGTATTAGGTAAGTCAATCGTTCTCAGAGCCAAAGTGCCTGCACTAAATATGGTTGCATCATCATAATATAACATGCTTTTCCTATATCTAAAAATAAATGTGTGGTAAGATTTGGTGCTGTATAATTGCCGTCTTTATGACTGGGGCCTCTTGTTGTCCCATATGACTATGCTAGATTGATGTTCATGCTTTCTGTATAACAGAAGCGTGCCAGCAAGAGGCAGGAGGAAGTGATTCATTCTACAGTCACCCATGGTTATCGTCATTTTCACGCTTAACTTTTGAGCTAATCAACACCATCAGTTATTGCAAGTCGGGATTTTAGTCATGACATATTATTACTTTGTGTACACAGCAGTCTATAGGCTCCTGTAAATTTTCTCTTCTGGATTATATATACTGGTATACATACAGTTGGGGTGCTCTACTACTGTTTTTCTTCAATTGTAACTTATGAGGTGAGGTAATATTCTGCAGATCTCAAGATCTATCGGAGATGTATATCTGAAAAGACCAGAGTATAACAGATCACCTCTACATAGCAAGTTTCGGCTCCGGGAAACCTTCAAGAAGCCAATTCTTAGTTCTGAACCTGCGATTGCTGTTCACCAAATACAACCGAGTGATCAGTTTGTTATATTTGCTTCTGACGGGCTATGGGAGCACCTCAGCAATCAGGAAGCAGTTGACCTTGTCCAAAGTAACCCTCGTAATGTATGCGTTCTTCTCCCACTCTCCGATCTCTATGGATTTCATCCCTAAAGAAAAAGTTTCCATGATTCAAATCCAAAATTCCTTTCGAGGCTCACTACCTGTCCAATTCATTAAATATATGACCAGCATGTAGGAAATATACGCATATTCTTAATGCCTTTATTTGTTTGTGTGGGTGGGACTAAAAGTTGTTTTGCTATTTTAAACTACTATAAGTTCAAGCAAGTGTAGCCTAAGTTCTGCACTTTATCTGGATGCTTGGGTTTTCAATCACTTACTAGTAGAGAGTATGTTACCCCTTCTCTACTCAAAGTTGTTTTGCTATTTTAAACTCTAGGCGCTATTTCAAGCAAGTATAATCTAAGTTATGCACTTGTGGATGCTTGTGCTTTCAATTGGCAGGGAGTATTTACCACTTCTCCACTTAAAGTTGTTTTCCTAGTCTAAGCTCTAAATAGTATTTCAAGCAACATACCGTTAAAAAACCCTCAAGTTGCATGTCATCCCTAGGCTGCTGTATTGTCAAAATCAAGCCTACTTCTGGCATGAGATCATTTTCGCCCATTCCTGAAAATTATGCTTTTTCTTTTTCACCAGGGGATCGCTCGAAAGCTAGTGAAAGCCGCGATGCAAGAGGCGGCCAAGAAGAGGGAGATGAGATACTCGGACCTGAAGAAGATCGAGCGTGGGGTGCGGCGGCATTTCCATGACGACATAACGGTGGTCGTGGTGTTCCTGGACGCGAGCGCGGTGAGCAGGGCGGGGTGGAGCAAGAGCCCGCCGGTGTCGGTGCGAGGGGGCGGCGTGAGCGTCCCTGCCAACTCCCTCGCGCCTTTCTCGGCCCCCACCATGGTGAGCAGCACCTACTGAAGAAGGGGAAGAAGCCGCCGCGCCGAGAAGAGAAACTCTATGACGAGAGCATCTGCAGAGAGAGTGCTTCCTGCTGCTGTGAAACTGCTCAGGCTCCACCCGGGTAATTAAATTAGCGTACTGATAGCAAGGTATAATGTTAGATCACCACCATTAGCGATGCTTTTCGCCCCCTCCGCCTCCTCCCCTTTGTTCTTTTACCTATCCCTTTTCTCCTCTCCAATGAGAGAGGAGAACAAGGTGGCTGTAAATTTGTCCGGAACATCGGCGTCTCTTTTCGCAATAGTCCGTCTTCTTCCATCTCTTGTTTTCGCCGTCGAAAACCGGGTGCCTGGCTTGACTGACTCTGTTGGGTCAAGACAAGGGGTGCCTCCAATTATTTGCAGCAGATTCATTATGAAATGGAATCAACTTGGACTCTCTGTATCTGGGTGAGCAAGGTAGGCCAGTGGTTTGGTGCCGACATGACCACATGAGAAGGATATCAACGCGGATTCTGGCCCTGGGGGAGCACGTGTGGTGCGGTGCTCTGAACTTGATCAGATTGCCAGTTGGGACAGTCGTCCAACAGAATTAAGTTTAGATTGGATCACACCCATAGCCTGGGCATCAAACGGCCCAATTGTCTCTCTCATGGGGCTTTGAATTTTACTGGAGTGGCGGTAGAATAAATTAGTCCCTCCGTCCCATAATATAAGAGCGTTTTTGTGAGCGTTTTACACAAAACACTCTTATACTATGGGGCGGAGGGAGTAGCTGACAAGCAGCTTGTCATTTCACAGATAAAAACAACGCAATCGAGCAAGTTCTGCATAAATTTCACAGGTTGAAAATTGAGAAACAAAACTTGGGTGCCATCCGACTTCGCCCGAAATTCGACGATCGAAATCTTCGCAAGTTGTTCTCCCTTTGAGGCCTCCTTTGGTTTGTAGGATTTTTGTAGGAATTCTATAGGATAGGATTTGCAAAGGAAAAATTCCTTTGAAGCCCTTTGGTTTGTAGGAATGAATTCCTATTCCTATGTAGGATAGGAATCAATCCTTCACGTTTTGGAGGAAAAAAACATTAGCCTAGACTCAATGAAAAAAATCTTATCCTATGCATCAAATGACATCTCTTTCTTTATAGGAATTGACATGCATGTCATCCCACTTCCTATGATTTTTCTATTTCTATGAAATTCCTATCCTATGAACCAAAGAAGGCCTGAATCTTACTGATCCACATATTGAAAACCTTCAGCTGCATGCAAAGCTCAGTGCAAGGCCGAGTTTTCAGCCTAGGATTCATGATGTGGTTTGTGGGTAAGTACAAACTTCAGAGTCTTGGGCGTTATACAGTCTTCACATGATTGCTTGTATCCCGCCTTATTCGATTTTTTTGAAACTTGGACTTGATTTTGGCCGTGTGCATCTCAGCTATGCAGATGCCAGGTGTAATGCTTAAACCTTTTAAGTAATAATAAAGTGTCCTTTATCGAAAACAAACTTCACAGTCCACACCACAATTTCCAAACAAGGGCGAAGAAACCGACAAATGAAATCGGGTTGGACAATGGAGAAAAAGGCTAGATACAAGTGATGATTGAAGTACAAGGGACTTAGATCCCCGCTGTAGTACTGTTTTTGCTATACACAGCTGCTTTTTGCATCTTCTGGGGAAAAGATGCACCATTTTTCAGTCAGTTACAAGGCCAGCTGACAGCTTAGCTTGCCCACAGACCCTACCTAACGAACAGCGACACCAACAATTGCGAGAAGAGAATGAATTCGGTGACGACGACCGCGGGGGAGTGGATGCCCAGGAAGGGCACAATGTCAACCTGCAGCCAGCTCTCCACGCCGGACCCGACCGTCGCACCGACTGCCAGCCCCCCGACGGTGATCAATGCGGCCTTACCTGCATGAACAAGGACCACAGAGGCATTCATTTCGTTCCAAATCGAAGCAGGAAGGTTGGCACAAGAGTAGCAGTAATCAAGGTACAGGACATTGGGCAAGGTTTCCTCCCACAATTAAGCAGTGCCATAACAAACACAAAAGCAGGTTGGAGGTTTGTGGACTTGTGTCAGCCAGATAGATCCATACGTGTTTAAAGACAGCATATCCAAGACCTAAGGTAGTAAAGAGATAAATAGCTCCATGTATGATTGGCGTACAAGCCAATGACAGTAGATATCTAAGAACCCCTTGTCAAAATCATACGAGAGATTATAACCCTACAACCGTGTATGATTGTGGATCCCTGGGCTTTCTTATCTTCAGATGTACTCTCAAGTAACAAATCACTGTTTTGACATGTTATGTTTTCACTCAAAAAGTGTGTACAGGACACAGTTCGTTTGTTGCTACAACAGCTGAATAACTGAAGTTGCTTGCAGTGTATTTCTCTGAAGTTCACACAAAACTTTCAGCACTAGACAACATCTATCTCTTCGAACCAAGTTTTTTTCTTTTCACCTAAATCCTAAAGCTAGTCCACATGCAATGCAATGTGAAGGAACGCACTACACGACAACAATGTAATCTTGGGAAACCGCTGACCTAAACTAAAAAGGTGATGTTGCATGAGACATACAAGCATCGAACTATGACAACAATCCCGTAATCACACGAGACTATGAGAGAATATAACCTACAATCATACAGGATTGTGGATCTCTAACGTTCTTACCTACAGATCTACTCTGAAGCAACAAATCGCTGTTTTGACATGTTATCTTCTCACTCAAGAAGCGTGTACTTACTTACTTACTTACTTATGAAGCCTTTTATCCCAAACAAGTTGGAGTAGGCTAGATATGAAACCCTTTCACGAGGACTTCCCAGGAGGTCGCCCATCCTAGTACTACTCTCGCCCAAATGGGTTTCATACCCCAAAGACTGGCTAGTTTTTACGTTGGCTCGCCAAGCCTATCACAACCCTTAGATATGAAACCCTTTCACGAGGACTTCCCAGGAGGTCACCCATCCTAGTACTACTCTCACTCAAGAAGCGTGTACAGAATAAAATTTGTTTGTTGCTACGATAGCTAAATTTGATTGACAATGTAGAACTTTCAGCACCGCTGAGTATTTGTCTCTTTGAACCAATTTTAATTTTCACCTAAAAAAAGGGCAGCCCGGTGCATGTAGCTCCCGCTTGCGCAGGGTCCGGGGAAGGGTCCGACCACTTTGGGTCTATAGTACGCAGCCTTTCCCTACATTTCTGTAAGAGGCTGTTTCCAGGACTTGAACCCGTGACCTCATGGTCACAAGGCAGCAGCTTTACCACTGCGCCAAGGCTCCCCTTCACCTGTAGACTACAAAATATAATCCATATGCAATACAAACACAAAAGCCGGTTGGAGGTTTGTGGACTTATGCCAGCCAGCCAGATCCATACATGTTTTATTCACTAGCAACTTTGTAGACAGGACATCCAAGAGTAAAATTGCTGCATGGCATGTTTTGACATGTTATGTTTTTACTCAAAAAGTTTGCACAGGGACACAATTTGTTTGTTGCTACAATAGCCGAATAACTGAATTTGCTTCACAATGTATCCCTTTGAAGTTCACACAGACTTTCAGCACTGCACGGTATTGATCTCTTTGAACCAGGTTTAATTATGCAATACAATGCCAAGGAGCGCACTATACGACAACAATGAAATTTTGGGAAACTGCTGACCTAGTCTAAAAAAGCATTGCAATACAATGCCAAGGCGCGCACTACACGACAACAATGCAATCTTGGGAAACTGCTGACCTAGTCTAAAAAGCTGATGTGCAAGAGACGTACAAGCATCGAACTATGAGTCTATAACAACAATACCAACCACCCCTGTAGCCAGCATGAGTTCATGCAATGCAAGCAATCTCTGCTACTCATCCTTACAGCCGACACGGATTAATTGGCACTGGAGCAGGGGCCTTTCTTAGCATACAAGTGCCTCTTATTTGCTTTGTTCTGTCCTTTTTTTGGATTGCATTTTCATTCCATGCTTCTAATGTTGTTCTTTTACTGAAAGTAAACTGAGCAAATATATAAGGAAGAAAATCAGCTACTAAGAAAACTACCATGACAATACTGCTTCTAAAGGCAAGATAACAGTTAAGGCTACAGATATAACAACACTAGATGCTTTAATTAAATAATTAATGCGCCCAGGTGAGCAGAACTAGCCTTATCTTGTTGGTTGTGCAACTGATAACACCACTGGTGATATAGGTTGTATTGTAACTTCAAAACTACTACCTCTGTAAACTAATATAAGACTTTTTAGAGACTTTCTAGATCACTAAAGTAGTGGTCTAAAAAGTCTTATATTAGTTCACCTCTAAAGTAGTGATCTAGAAAGTCTTATATTAGTTTACAGAGGAGTAGTTTGTAGTAGTGTTTCCATGTTTTTTATGCAGAAGCCAGAGACAGAGTGTTGAACAGAAACTAAGAACATGTTCGAACCGTACCAAATGTAGAGCATCAGAGTAGATATATTATAAAAAATAGCGATAACAAACTGGTGGAAGAATTTACCTAAGTTCATGTTTTTCTTGGACAGAAAATACAATGAAGCACCGAATCCTGTTGCTAGGATAAATCCAGGCACATCAGGGCTAGTGTACGCTGATGGTAAAGACGTAGAGGTTCCACTAGCATATGTGAAAACCATCAGCGCACCATAAATGGATGACTGGATGCCCAAGCTGCTCGAAGCTGGGGCCTCCAATGTGAGAGGCACGTTCTTCATGGCTGACTGCATCCATTGCGGTGCTGTTCCTGCAGTCTTGACAGGTTTCACATCGGCGTAGCGGACGCTGCTATCGACAACCTTGCCAGCCCTCCGGCGCGATAAGCTCTGCATTAGCAGCATGTCATAGGCAACCTCGACCTGAAATGAAACATGAAACGGAGTCAAACAACGCATCCGGGACGCCTTTGATACCGGGTGCAACAAAATCTGTTAAAACATCAATGATTGATGCTGCCAGCAACTTAGGATCCTGTTGTTTCTTTTAA